TATCTTCATTAGCATTAATCAGCTGTCCGGGGCACCTAGCGATAGCAGTGCTGGTTTTGTCTGTTTTTGAGAAGCCAGGTTTGGGTTTAAAAAAAGAAAACTAACTAATTTTGATAATTTTTACATTAATATAGTTGCTATTAAAGAATTAACATAAAAAAAAAATCTTCCCTTCCATCAAACGTTCATATTGTAAACCGATAGATAGAGATTAACGAATTACCGGAGTATTAACGTGACTTGTGATTAATACATTACGATAAATGATTAATACGGTGCTAAACACTTAGCACGAATCTTGAGTGAATTCCCCCATGTCCTATCCTGCAAAAGTACAATAAGTTAAAACCATCACTCTACTTGGTGTTCACTTGTTGATTTAAATTATTAAGTATTTATTTTTCTTTTATTTGAACATTGTTTAATACATGAAGTGTGACAGTCATAAATTTATAAGAAAATTTGTAAACAGTATTTACTTAGAATTAATTTAAATATTATAGTATAATTTGTATTTACTCATAAATAAAAATAATAAAAAAATATTGCGACCTCTGATGACAAAAAGATTCCCCATCTATGCCCTAGGCCGTGTTAAAATCGAGTGTGCTAGCGGGCATATTTAACACACTAATCTTAAATAAGCCTTTAACACATTGAAGAGGTCTGCAATATTTAGCACTCGTAGCGCGAATACTCCTGATGTCACCTTCTTATACGTTTATTTAAGCAACGTAAGCCTCCACTATTATAAATATGTAAATAAATCTTCGTCGCCAACTACATTACATAACATTCCGTGAATACAATATTTTACCTTCAGACAAATTCACTAATAAAATATTATTATAAATTCTTTACTTTATTTATTGCTCTGTGTTCCCTACATTGCTGAGAGAAGGCTTAAGACATTATCTAAAGAATGGAGTAAATATAATAAAAAAATTAAAACCTCACGATTCAGGAAGATTGATTTATCCAAACAAGATAAATATTTACTCTTTCTTGCAACTGTCCATTTAAATTGTGAGATGTTTGGTTAGTATAGTGCACAAATCCCTTAATTGTTCTTCTGATAAATTTGATTGTTTTTTATAGGAATATAATTTTTTGTTAACGTAAAATTATATATACGTAAAACGTAGCCCCTATCAAGAATTGCAACCATAGATTCAAACAGCTTCAGTAAATTCAAAACTTAAATGTCTATTAAATTTAAATGTTATCTGTGTTTGAATGTTAATAATATAAACTATTTTACAGATTTCTGTTAAATTTTTTTTTTGTTTACACTAAACATCATAATCATTTAGTGTTCAATCACATCTCACCATGATATGTAAATTTTAAGGAAAATCGTATTGCATACTTTATTTAAAAATTCAAAAGATGTTTTGTTTGTCGTAAATTTATTATAGATTTGTTAACAGTGTGGTATTTGGTTTGCAATATTATATTTCAAAAGTAAATGATATATATTTTAGTATGTCAACTTCTTTCCTGATATGAAGGTTAGTATTTTAATTTCATTTTTTTTTTATAATTTGAAATTTTTAATAACTTCCATACTACTAAAAATATTCCCCAAAGGTCATAAAATAAATTATTATGACCTTCCGGAATATATTTTTCAAATGCATTTCTCTTAATATTTATAATCTATCTATTTGTTACTTGTAATTAAACATTAATGTATAATTTACTATAATGTATTTTTTTTAAATAGCTAAATTTTAACAATTTAGCTAATATCAATTAACAATAATGGTATTAGTTGAAAGATTTGTGGTTTAGTTAATTAAATGTTTTAAATCTGTTAAAATATATATTTAAAAAATGACAATTGAAAATGAAAAAGTCGTTCCGAAATGCCATGAAATAAATAAAATGTAAGAAATATGAATGTGATTATTAATTAAATCCTTAATCATAAAAATGAGTATATTTTAGAATAAATACCTTATTGTTTATAAAAAGAGCTGATCTCAAATTTAGAATCAAGATGTTAGATATATTTTTTTATTTATTTATATTTTATGCAATTTGCATCTGCGCGGCTGTGCATCTAGCAAATTTTTTAGATATATTTTTAGATTAACAAAATAAAAACGATTTATAAACAATTTTATAGAAAACACATATTTTCAAATTTAATATACCTCTGAAATATTATTTAGAAGGTTACCCTTCACTTGCCACGTAACTGCGAAATTCCTTAGCAAAGATCACTCAAGAAGTAGAAAACCGCCAGACCGAACATACTTTCGTAATAGTTTGCCATTTACAATATTGCAAATCATTGTGAAATATATATTTTTTTTATATATAGTGTTTGTTTCTCCTTTATTAAAAAACACTTTTTTTATTTGTTCATGAAATTTATAACTGTACAGAGAGAAACAATAGCATGAAAAGAATTATAGAGAATCCACCCATTGGTAGCACTCTAATAAAGTACCTAAATTAGGAGATCACGAGTCCATCTTCTTTTAAGACGCCTCGGGGGGTTACCAGAGATCGAAGAGGAAGCAAGGTTAGAAACGAGAGGATTAGGATGGTTCTGAAGTTTATTGTGGAAATATAGGTATCTGGATTGGGCCAAATCGGAAACATAGAATATTAAGATCGGTATGGATGATTTTATTTTTGACAAAGTAAGGAGTATTGAGGATTTTGGATTTTAAGGATTGGATACGAGAGGAATTCGATGGCTTAGTGAAGCTCCCCTTCCCCCCAAAAAACACATTTTGATTTTGTATTCACATCGTAGTTATATATATATAATATTATATTTACCGTACATACACAAAAAAAATTGATCACTTCTGGTGTTTTATATTTTCCTCGGTGAAATTGTCTTGAAGGAATAATACATGAAGTATAGAGAAAAATATTAATATTTATGAAATGCTTCTTCCTGAAGGGGAGGCAGAAGAGATTCATCCATATTTCTCCCTCAGTTCTGTTGGCCTAGCCCTGAAAATATGGTGGAATTTATTCCGATACTGGGAGGAGAGGTGGGAGACTCCGGTATTCACACGATTTTTGGTCAGAATCTTTCAAAACTTTCAGATTCCGCACGGAAGTTTGTAAATACGTGTAATTAATAACTATTTATAAATTCAGGTGTGGAAACTCAAAATTTATGCTTAATTATTAACATTTTTTTAGTTGAAATTTTTTTAATAATTTTTTTTTGTCCATTTTTAAGATTATTTTAAAATATTTCTTCAGAAGACAAAATCGAATTTTTTTCTCCTTTTCTGATTGTGCATTGTTACATGCACATATACACATATATGCCATATACCTTAAAGGGCAGATAGATTAATAAAAGACGAAAGAAGGGCAAGTTTACTAGTGCCTGGGATGGCATAGGGCGTAGTAGAGCTGTTATTGATTGCTCCGCATACTCCAACCTATCCCCATTCCCATGAGTACTTCCAGGGCACTTCCTATTTAAATTTTTTTTTTTAAACTTTATATCATTTCATAAATTATTATAAAATAAAAATAAATAAATAAAAGCGGTATTAATTAAGAACACAGGGTTATAAGACGACGAAATATGCATTATGCAATTTTTCAATAACAAATCTGTGCCATTCGGATGTAAAGGGACACCATGTCCATTTTTTTATTGAATGATTCAATTACTAAGAAACAAGTTTATATAGCACAAACTGACGGAAGTTTGTGTGGGCCTTCTAGGTTAAAAGATAAAACTTCTGTTTTAAAATACATTTATACAATATTTGTACTCAGGAACAAAAATTTTCAATGTTCAAAACTTAGCGAATTGAGTGAACTGCACTAAAAAAAAATAACCCAATTTTTTCCAAGTACAGATATTATATACATATATTTTCTTTTCTTTTTTTTTAAATCATCAAATTAAAATTTTAAAAAATGTAAAAGATATCTCACTTATTTTGTAATTATAAAAAAATAAAAAAAATATTTGTCGAAAATGTAAGCTTAAAAATTTTATAAATGCGGAGTTTTTAACAAAATTATTTTAATTTTAAGCATTAAGATTATTTTACATGTGGTTATTTGCACACAAAGTAGAATTTTTATAAACAAAAAGTTATGTACCTCTAGCATGATTTTAAAAACATACATAAATTGCATCCCTCACTCTGTTAAAAATTAAAATGTACAAAACGTGTACAATGTTTTATTTTGTTAGGGCAAAAATTAAATCATAGTAAAGCAAAAATGAGGAAGACAAAATAGCATACTTTTAGTCGGTTTAAAAAAAAAAAATGTATATAACAAAATTTGTTGGAAAAATAAAATAAAGGTATTATTTTTTTTTCCACAAAAACCATCATGATAACAAGTAATGATAGAGTATATTTATCAATTTCAATTTGCTATTTATAGTGCAAAAGGTCGTATGTAACAATTTTTCATTCTTGTGCCCCGTTACTATGGAATATACTAAAGGGAAATAAAATATCACATTATATTAATAAATCATAAATAAATAATCAATTTTTTTTTTGTCTCTAAAAAAAAACCTCAATTTTGTCATACGACACTTATGCACAAACAGTAGCGAATTATTATTCACGAATTCTTATAATAAGCCAAAAATAATAATAAAAAAAAAACTGGTATCGTAAAATATTAAAATATTTTTTGCAAGGTAGGGAACTGATAATTCTACCCGTTACGTGAAACAGATCTTATCAGCTCTCTAAAAATATCATGTTGGATAACATTACCGAATAGAATAAATTCAAGCCTTCATAACTATACCTTTTATCTATATATTTTCTAATTAAACCACGGCAGAATATTAATTAATTTAAGTTTACAGTTAATTGAGTAACTTTGACTTTCTCTGCAATTAGAAATGATGTAAGCTTGTATATTTATAATTTACTTTCATTTATTATTTTAATTGCATGTATTAAAATAATAACGAAGGGTTTAATGAATGGTAAAACGGATGGTCTAAATAATTGAATGGTTGGGAAGAAACGTTGCGAATGAGCGGAGACTGGAAGGCTAGATCCAGTGTTGCAACTGGACTCCACGGCCTTGAGGGTTCGCTTTCGAGCCTGTTCTAGCTCGGCATACATTAACCATTTTATTGCCAATATTTTATCTATTCTCACATAATTTCAATTAGATCTGATGCTAATTATTTATGGAGTATGGATATTAAAGTAAATAAACTTATGCAGTCTCACTGTAAGTGAACTTCCTTAATAAAAAACAAATAGACTACCTATTAGATCTAGACTGAGAATTAATACTTGGTAAGAACTGTAAAAAAATAACAAAAAAAAAAACAGAAAAAAATAGCTAACCTTATTAATTAATATGAGTGATTAATTTAAACGTTACATTAATTTTTTTTTAATAATAAAAATAAGTCTTATATAAATGAATTTCATCATAAAAAAGAAATAATATATATGTATATATATATATATTTATAAAAAAAGGGACAACATAAATAATTATATAATTAATTATTTTATAACTATTTATTTATTTTCAAACGAAAATGGTATGTTTTAAACTATTAAAAGAAAGCTTACAGCGCCTCTAGTGTTGCCCAAAATAGGTCTTGGTCTTGTATTTTGCAAGACTAAGATCTAGACCCCTGTAAAACCAAGCCTGGTAAAAAAAAAAAAAAATCGTTTTTGTGAATAAAGTATTTACTTACACATGACAATTTTAGTTACTATGTGTGAAGAATTGGTATAACCAAATATACTTTTGCATTTAACTCTTCCAATCTTTCATTCGGGCTTAGTTATGTTTCTCCTATCTGAAAAATTACAGTATTATCTCTTTAGTAAAGAGCTAATAAATAACTGCAAGACTTACGCAAGAGGCGGACCAACACCAAGACTGAGAGCGCAAGACCAAGACTCATCTTGGTCTCGCATTTGGGCAACACTGAGTGCTTCAGCTTGAATATATTTTTAGTATGCTTCTACATGTAATATAATTACATACTTGTCTAGGAAAGGCAAAATATAGCAAAACCAGACTTCTCTTAATTCAAACCAACTTTGCTTATGCGTTTGTCTCCACGCTTCATTTTCACAGCTAACTATATATTACGGAGAGCTGTGTTGTACACAGGGATCATTTAGTGTACAAATATATCCACAGAAGTTATATTCTTTATATCTCATGGTCCATTTAGAATTATTAATGCCCGGTGAACTTAACGGAATTTTTCAACATTATCAGTTCTTTTTGTTAATAAAAATAAAACAAAAAAAATTGATAATAATCGGAAAAAAATACTTCATTGTTATTTAAAGCCCATAAAGATATTAAAGAATTAGAGAAAAGTTCTCGCAAAAATTGATGGTTTCAAAATCTTACGTTATCAATACTCATTTAGTGAAGAAATAATTTAACAGTTATTATTATAGAATTGCTCTTAACGAATTTAGTTAAGATTTAAATATATTTAAGCTAAGTAAAAATAATGATTTTTTTCTCTAAAATTAATTTGATGGATAGTTTTCAGTTGTTACATAAAACGATTTTACAATTTCATAAAAAAAAAAAAAAAAAAAAAAAATGTTCAGATAAATAATTTTGGTGTTTTACTTTTCTTTGGTTTTAAATAAAGTGTAGTTCACCAGCAAATCGTTTCTAAACACTTCATCAACGGCCTAGGGAACTAACATTGAAGGATAGATACACTAAGCTACCATTTAACTGGCGATTTGTCAGCAAGTGTGGACAAGTAGATTCCATTACCACAAGGGGATTCAACCTGCCACCGCAAATCCAACGATCGCTGCGACCGCTGAATGAAACAGATGCACCAGAGGTGAATAATAAACAGAAGGGAGGGGGTGATGCTCCCTCGCAAAGTGGATTTCTTCCAGCCAGCGTGAACCCAAACGGCTCCTGTAATTTATACTAAGAGTCCTTCTTGCGCAACGAAAGTTTTATGCCTGTCATTTTATAGGCGGCGGTAGTAAATCGGGGGTCCGGCCCTTAGGGTTAATTTAAGGGATTCTTCCTTCGCCCTTGTAAAATCGGCTTCCTCAACAACGGGAGCCTTCTTTTATAGCCACTGCTGGAGAGAAGATAGCATATCATCAGGAGTCCGTCCATCGGAGGGTATTTGCTATAAAAATGGTATGAGGTCCCATGATGTAAATATATACCTGCGAAGAACCCTGTCGGAACCTAACTACAAGGTCAAACACGAACCTCCCATCTACGCCTCGATCTAAGCACTATGGGCCAGAAATCAAATTAGCGAGAAAAAATATTCTTGTATTAAAAATAAATTCTACTTGGAACTAAAAGACTAAATATAACTTTCGGTTGATAATAGTGTTAACCGAAAATCTGTCTTGGTCTTTGCAAGACCAAGACCAAAGCCGCCTAACTGATGCAAGACAAAGACCAGGACTGGTAAAAAAAATCGATTTTTTGAATAAAAATTAAGGCAAAATAGTCACTAATATTTGATAAATTTAGTTACTGTTAGTAGAGAATTGGTACAACCAATATACTTTTGCATTTAACTCCTCTAATTTTTCATTCTGGCTTATTTAGATTCCTCCTATCTAACAAATTACAGTAATATCTGTATTGCAATTAGCTAATAAGTAACTGCAAGACCGTTGCCAGACTCTTGCGCAAGACCAAGACCATGACCAGACTAAGTTTGCAAGACCAAGACTCGTCTCGGTCTCGGATTTGGACAACACTAGTTGATAATGATATTGAACAGACACTTAAAAAAAATGAACGGATGCATCTAGAGGAGAGGGTGACTGACATCGATTAACACTACTGCACAGTCTGATGAGTGTTTTTAAAGTGCAGATATAAGTATACTTCACGCTAACACCAAAGAGATAAAAAACTGTTTTGACATGATTTTTTAAAAAATGTAATTACCAAATCACAATTCTGTACATTACAATAAGCTTCTTATAATAGAGAAAAGGAATTTTATCAATTCTGTAACTACACAAATCTATAACAGGATGAAGAGAATTGTATCGAGTGATCTCTAAGATAGTCTTTTTATAAACTGACATTTCAGAAAATAAAGAATTCACTTAATTCTGCCTTATAGATATATTTATATCCTCCTGGAAAGATCTGGAATGGAAACTATTAAAGACTAATAAACCCGGACGTATGCTAGATAAAGTAAGAATGAACATTAAGTATTTCGAAAAACTTGGCAGTTTTGACTTTTTTTCTGTTGAATCTAATTTTTGGTCCATTGTGCCTCGGTTCGGCACTAATGCCTTCTTAAAAATTTATAATCAAGACAGAAAAGTTGACATAATCCCTTTTTTTAGTCTTAATTTGTCAGTGAACTTATATTTCTTTTGTGTAAGGAAGTATTCAGAAGCTGTTTATAATTAATATCAAAAGTACTTTTTTATGATCTAACGTTATTCATTTTTGTTTTATACAGAAGCCAAAGAAACCTAATAATATAAAAAGAAATGAAACATAACTCTCCCCGTGAGGTCGTAGCGAAGGATTTCGACACTAGCCTTGTGTTCTATTATTACAACTGTGAGATCGTTGGCTCTTAATGCCAAAAATTTTCTGGTTTCAACAATGATTCATAATCAAATAAAAAAAAAATTAAAACTTTATTTTAACAATCGATTGAGTCGAAAAAAAAACAAAAACAGTGGCTGGAAAAGAAGCTTTTCAGAAAGGTTTTTGTTATCCTGAATAGATACATGAAAAATAAGAGAAGCTATATATTATTGAGAGGAATCCTATGCTCAGGGTTTCACTTCATCCAATATTAAACGGTTTGGGTCCGACTTGTACGGAACAAAAAATAAAAGATTTCCATCGAAGGCTGTAGAGGCCTATCGACTGATGACCACAGGAACGTCTCTTCCTCCCAACTGCTTATTTGTCCAAGTGTTCTCGAGTAGGCGATTGCTCCACTATTTCGGTTCTCATTTGAAATGGCCGGCAATCATTCCTAAAATTAGCTGTCGCCATTATGTTTACGAACAGTCTCCTGAATGACATGTGAAAAAACATATAAAGCTATTGTTCTTTATTTGGTAATATTTAGACGAAATGGAGAGAAGCTAAGTCAAAATTTTTCTTGAGAATAATTCTTTATCAGTAATAAAAATCAAAGTGGAATTGGAATACATTAAACACCCTCAAACGATCGACAAATAAACATTTTCCTATTTCCAATAAATAAATAAATAGAAAGAGTACACAACAAGACTCTATAATTTATAATAAAAAAAAATACAATTTAATTGTTTAGTGATTATGGATAACATTAGTAGATAGAAACACAAAACTTTTCTCAATTACAAACAAAAAACTAAGCAGAGGTTTGGTTAGGTCAGTAATAAATAGGGAAGAAATATCGTCGTTTTATTGCAAAAAGTAGACTAGCTCAGTGGTAGTGTATTGAGCTTCGATTGCCCCAGGTTAGAATCCCGGCTCATGGTAGACCCTCCTGGGGCACACCCAACCTCTATAAAGTGGGTACTCTTAATCAAATAATTAAGGGAGGAAACCAGGCGGTTGAGCGTGATCTCGGTCAAATCACCTCCTTGCACAAACGTTGACCTAGAAACGGTGCTTTCCCTAAGTAGTACCGAACCCCAAGCAAGACCCTTCATGGGTTGTAGTGGTACAAATTTTACTGCAAAAAGTCGCTAAGCAAAATTTTAATGATTTTGAAGTTTCTGATTAATTTAAAAAATGCTAAATTACCCTTAATTAAATAATTAAGGGGGAAAACCAGGTGGATGAGCGTGTTCTCGGTCAAATTACCTCCTTGCACAAACATTGACCTAGAAACGGTGCTTTCCCTAAGTAGTCCCGAACCCCAAGCAAGACCCCTCATGGGTTGTAGTGGTACAAATTTTACTGCAAAAAGTCGCTAAGCAACATTTTAATGATTTTGAAGTTTCTGATTAATTTAAAAAATGCTAAAATAGCAGTTTTATTTTTTGTTATTCCCAACTCTAAATATGTGTTCTATTTTCGACAGTTAATTAAAATACTTAACATATACATAATAATAAAAGAGTTAGCATTACCTCACTTAGTTAGTCTTATCATCTGACTAATTGATCCAGTAAAGAAGTCATTAGTACCGGATAGTGACTTTTTGCTTTGTGAAGTCAGAACATAGTGAAACTATTTTTTACGTATAAAATGATTAGTATTAGTTTTATGCTCTTAATGCGTTGTTGTATCGATAAATATGATCGAAATGAACAACTACGTACCTAAGTACGTAAAAATCGTAGGTAGGTAAAAATCGACCAAAAGTGTACTTAGTGACTTTTTACTATAAACCGACGATATAATAGATAAACTAGCTATACAAAACTAGTCTTATCAATGGGTGGAATACTGCATATGTTATTATATTAATTACAGCTTATGTCTCGACGTATATAAAAAATAAATTATTGTATCAAGTAAATACATGAACCACGTTCATTCATATTATCCATATGTCAGCAACCACATTAAACCGTTTATAATAAAAAAAAAATGTTTACAATGCCGTACTCACAGCTGCTTATGAGTCTAGTGCGTGAAACTCGAACCAGACATTTTTATAAATTAAGAAAGGCAATTTTATGAATATCATCAAGAATCAAAACGATACTAGTTTTTCTATTCATTGTTATATCAATTGTTAATAGTTCATTATCATTGATATGCTGCGTCAGAAGCCTTACGCATGCTACAACAAGGAACCTAAGCAACAAAGCAGATCCTGCTGAGGTATTCAGCAACACGTAGCCGATTCTATGTGAGGCGATGTGCGCGACCACTGGACTCAAATCCCCGAAGGGCATTCCAAGACAGGATGCAGCAAAGACTGCCTTTGAAAGCCAGTTCTAAGGGCTGCGGACTATCTGACATGAGCGGCCTCTGTTTTGGCCCTTTGTGTGGGAGTACGGATGGTACCTGCTGTTCTGGGAAAGGGAGCGGTCGACTTCCCTCGGGTACGCCAGCGCCTAACGATTCTTTGGTTGTGTTTACACAGTACCCTCCCACGTCGAGCACGAAAATATCAGGGCTCTAAAGGAATTTTTTCATATTTAAAGGACAGCAAATAGCAAGCTCGGTCTAAGAAACTATCATAAAGAATATGATAACTTATTTATTGGAAGATTCTACACAAAAACTATGACATAATAAATATAGACATACAGACATAGACTAGACATAGGCATAGATATACAGACATAGACTAGACATAGGCATAGACATACAGACATAGACTAGACATAGGCATAGACATATAGGCATAGTCTATAGAAATATAGACATAATGAGGTTTAAAAACCACAAATTAACTTCTTTGCATTTTTTGTGTGGAGAGTGAATTAGATTGAGCAGTCAGATCTCCGATGTGTAACGCTCGGGTAAATTTGGTTGAAGTCGACTAATTGAAGTTATTTTGCATATGGATTAAAATATCTCAGAAAAAAATGACCTGCATACTGTTTGTGAACGATATGTTCTGCATTTTATCCTCTTTATAATGTAGCATTATTAAATTATTTAATTAATATTTCATATTATTCGTCTCGACTTGTTTGTTCACTTTTACCCTGTAATCTAAAGCACATACCTTAGTTTTTATTTTTCCCCATATTTTATTTTATTACTACAGAAAAAATTGAATTGTTTTGTTGAGGATAGCTGGATAAAATCATCCTTTTGTTTCCATTTTTTTGTCAAATTATCATAAGATTTTTTTGCCAACGGTTCTATGCCTCATGATCGGGAAAGTATGGTATACAGTTTCCTACATCCCCAGCATACTACAGCATCCGAAGCAAAGAGTATAATTATTTTATTACATTATAAAATAATAGTTCACGGCAGTGATAAGTAAGAAAATGGTTATTTATTTATTGAAATCGTCTC